TTTATAGGAAACTCTGCAGAGAAACAATCCTGGAAAAAATGAAACCTCTTTGGTTGTGGGGCTGCTGAGCTCCAGCCATGATTGACCAGCCAGTGCAGGGACAGGGTTTTGATGGAAATCACCCAGGTAAGGAGAGGGAATCCACAGGAAAACATCCTGGCTGCAGCTTTTCCCCTGGATGTGGCCCAGGCACCTCTGTGAGTGTCCAGGCAGCCCTGAAGGGATGCCCTGGCACCTCATCCCTGTCCCCACGAGCTCTGGGGACACTCAGCCTCTGCTTTCCACCTGCCACAGGTGGAATCATGGAATGGGCAAGGCTGGAAAGGAGCTTCAGGAGCCCTGAGTCCAGCCCAGCACCAGGCTCAGCACTGTGTCCCCAGCTGCCACATCCAACGTGGCTTTTGAACACTTCAGGGATGGGGCTCCACCACTGCCCTGGGCAGCCTGCTCCAATGCCTGACAGCCTTTTCCATGGAAAAATTTGCATCAATATCAAATTTCAGCCCCGCTGAGGCCGTTTCCTCCCTCCTGTCACTCGTCCCCTGGCAGGCTGAGCCCTGTCCCCCTCCAGGGAGCTGTGCAGAGGGGTGAGGGCTGCCCTGAGCCCCCCTTTCCCTGTGGATCTGCAAACACAGCACCAGGAGAGCCCTCCCCAGGGCCAGCACAGCTGCAGCAGCCAGGGGAGGATGCTCTGGGATGTCACCCCAGCAAATCCAGCTTTGCCCCAGCCTCAGGAGCAGATTCATTGGAAAGATAAAGCCAGGAGCTGCAGGGGAATCCAGCCCAGGTTAATGTTAATACAGAAACATCAGTGCTGAGGGACAGAGGTTGGCAGGAGGCTCCAGGCTGGCAGGAATCAGCAAAATCCCTCGACTTGCCAGTCCAAATTCCCATGTACAGATAAGGAGCTCAGAGGCTGATGCTGCCAAACCCCTCCCACAGCAACTCCCTGCTCCCCTCTTTGCTCACAGGGCGCTGAGGCCCTGGCACAGCTTCCCAAAGATGCTGTGCCCGCCCCATCCCTGCAGCCCCCCCTGGGACAGGGGGTTACAAGGCTTTTCTTGGAGGCAGGAGCAATCCAGACTCTCCTGGTGGATTCTCCAGGACCTTGGGCACCTCCAGGCACTGCCAGCCCCCTCATCCCTGCGAGTGCCCAAGGCTTGGAGCAGCCTGGGGCAGTGCAAGGTGTCCCTGCCCATGGGATAGGACGAGCTTGAAGGTCCCTTCCAACCCAAACCACCCCAAAGAGAAAGCCTGCAGAGGCCAATGGGAGCAGGGCTGAGTTAATATCAAAAAAAAGCCAAAATGAACAAAAAAATAAAAGGAGCTTTTGGAAGGTTCACCTGGGAAAGGGAAGAAAAATCCCACGTGTGAAAGCAGAGCACAAAATCAGCACAGCTGAGGGGGGAAGAAAGGAAACCCAAGGAGAAGTGAAGGAAATCCCAGTTCAGCAGCACCAAGAGCAATGAATGACCACAAAGGCCAAAAGAAAGAGGAAATGCCCTCCCTGGCAGGTGCACCCTGTCCCTCAGTGTCACCCATGAGCACATCCTCAGCTCACAGCAGCACCTGGAGCAAGCTCCCAGGGCAGGCAAAGCTTTCCCTGCTGGCCCAGGGAGCTGGGGAAGGAAGGGCTGAGCTGCCTGTCCCAGGCTCTGGAGCACATCCCAGGCCAGGCAGGCAGCAAGGGGCTCTTTATGGCCAAAAATACCCCTGGAAGCCCTGGGAGCTGTCATCAAACACAGGGAAATGTGTGTGTGTGTGTCAAGGGCTGCTGAGATTTAATTAGCACTTGCCTTTTCCCCTTCTGGAAAATGGCTCTGGATGAGGAGGAGGAGGAGGCTGGGCTGTGGCTTGGGCCAGCACGAGCTCCTGAGCCCAGGCAGGCCTGGCAGGGTTTAGGCTCAGCTCACACAGGCCTCAGGAGCACGTTAATCCAGTTTGGAATGGCAGGGCTGAGCCCCAGCCTGGCTGGGCTTGGAAGGGACCTCAATCCCATCCTGTCCCAGCCCCAGCTGGCCTTGGGCACTGCCAGGAGAGGAGCTCCGAGCTCTCCTCCATCCCAAACCCTGCTGTGCTCCAGGGGCAGCACCCCCAGCAGCTGGGCTGGGAATCCCAGAGCTCCCACCCACAGCTGGGCTCTGGGAGGGGCAGCACAGACCCAGCCCTGCATCCCCAGAGTTCCTCCTGTTCCAGGTGAGCAGCACAGGCCCAGCCCTGCATCCCAGAGAGCTCCTCCTGTGCCAGGTGAGCAGCACAGACCCATCCCTGCATCCCCTGTTCCCAGAGAACTGCTCCTGCTCCAGGTGAGCAGCACAGACTCATCCTTGCATCCCCAGAGAGCTCCTCCTGTGCCAGGTGAGCAGCACAGACCCATCCCTGCATTCCCTGTTCCCAAAGAGCTGCTCCTGTTCCAGGTGAGCAGCACAGACCCAGCCCTGCATTCCCTGCATCCCAAAGAGCTGCTCCTGCTCCAGGTGAGCAGCACAGACCCAGCCCTGCATTCCCTGCATCCCAAAGAGCTGCTCCTGCTCCAGGTGAGCAGCACAGACCCAGCCCTGCATCCCCTGCATCCCAAAGAGCTGCTCCTGCTCCAGGTGAGCAGCACAGACCCAGCCCTGCATTCCCTGTTCCCAAAGAGCTGCTCCTGTTCCAGGTGAGCAGCACAGACCCAGCCCTGGATTCCCCTGACCTCCTCCTGCTCCAGGTGAGCAGCACAGACCCAGCCTTGCATCCCAGCACAGGCCCATCTCTGCATCCCTCATTCCCAAAGAGCTGCTCCTGCTCCAGGTGAGGCAGGAATCCCAGGATCCCTGCAGCCCTGGTGCTGCTCCCCACCCCTTGTGACAGCCCTCAGGATTCCCCAGGAGCAGCAGCCTGTCCTGCCCACTGCCTGGGAAGATCTGCAGGATTTGAGGATTCCCAGCAGTTTGTACAAAACCCAAAGGGTGCAAGGGAAGCTGTTTCCACACCAGAAGGTCCCTGTGAATCCCAGGCTGGATGAAACCTTGGACCAGGCAGGGATTTCCCACCCTGTTCCCAGCTCCAAGCTGCTGCTGCTGTTTCTTTCTCCCCCTTCCTCAGGATGTTTTCTCCAGCTTGCTTTATTTTTTTTTTAGAGAACAGTTTGCTGTGAACAGGCAGAACCTGTTCTGGACACACTCAGAGCTGCTCCCCATCTGCAGCATTTGCCAGCACGACTCAGATTTATTTCATTTTATTTATTTTTTTTTTCCAGGATACTCCAGGCTCTCTCCTGCGTGTGGGCGCCCGGCTGCCTCACCCAGGGGAGACGTGGGCTTGCAGGATTCACATGGATGAGCCCCAGGAGCCAAGCCCTGCTCCCCCTGGATCCTGGACAGGGATCCCAAACCCTCTGGGGTCCCTGCAGACCCCGCTCCTGGCTCTGTTTGCCCTCAATTAAGGCCAGACGTGGAACAAAACGTAACGTTTTAGGGAAAAGATCTTCCACATGTTGGGCTTTGGCAGCTTCTGATGGTTTGAAGGGAGCCAAAAAATAACTAATCCTCCTCTCCTTCAGCCAAGGGCTGAGTGGGACCAGAGGGGAGAAAGGGGAGAAAGGGGGGAAAGGGAAGGAAGGGAGGAGGAGACAAGAAAATGGCCAAAGTGGAACCAGTGAGTCCCAGTTTCCAGTCAGAGCATCTCCAAGTCTTGGACACCTCTGTCCCTGTCCCTGGAGCGCTGCAAGGGGCGGCAATTTGCAATTCCTCCAAAAAACGGCTTCATCTGGGGTTTCAAATGATATTTTTGGGCTTAGGAACACGTTAGTCCTGAGTCACCCAGGGGTTTCCACCTCCTGACACCAGCACAGCACATCCAGGCCAGCAAAATCCTCCCACACCGAGCCCCCAGCACGACCTTTCCCCATGGAAGTTGTGAAAAAACCACCCTAAACACCACCCCACGATGGGTTTGGTGGGAAAGGCGGTGGAGGATGACTTCAGGAATTTGTTCTTTTGCTTTGCTGGGTAAATGAAATGGATTTGGGGAAACAGAGCCGAGGAGGAAGGCGACACACGTTGCACGCAGGGGTGGGATGAGCTGAAAGGGTTTAAACTCAGGGATGGAAAACACCACCCGTGCCAAATTTATCTGGAATTCAAAGCAGGGGCAGGAAAGCAGCAGCAGAGGGGGATTTGTGATTCCTGAACCGTTCCCAAAATGCATTAACAAAAGCTCACAACTGTTAACAGGAAGCGCTGGGAAGGGGAATTCTGCTCGGGGGGATTGGGGATGGACTCCCCTCGTTTGAGGGAGAGGCGTTTGTGAGCCCTGTTTGGGGCCCATTCCCACAGGGAATCGTGGAAATTCCTTTGGAATTCATGGAATATTCCTTCGCATGGAATATCCCCTCGCACCGTGCCAGGCTGCTCCCGGCCGGGCCTTGGGCACCTCCAGGGCGGGGAACTCGGGGGAAGAATTCCAAGGATGAACGAACTCCTCCATCCTGGGGGCAATTCCCGAACCTCTGGAACTCTGCCCAGCCCGGGGCTCCCCAACCCCGCACGAACCGGGAGCTTCCCGAGGTTACCGGGGCCTTGCTCCCGGGGCTCCCTCCGGCTCCAGGCTGGATCCGTCCCGGTTTAGGGAAAGGGAAGCATCCCCGGGACCCCCGTGGTGTCACCGGCCCCGCAGCCGCCGCTTCCCCCGGAGGAGTTTCCGTGCCCGGGTCCCCTCCCCGGTCCCACCGGAGAACGGCTCCGCCAAACCGGGCCTCCCTCCCCGGCTGCTGAGCTCCGCTCACGACCCGCACCGAACTCCGGGAGCGACACTGAGAACCGGGAGATACCCTGGACACCGGGGGGTACCGGGGGATGCCCGGCGGGCCCAGCGCCGGGATGCCGGGACGGGATAACGGCGGGGAGCGGGCACTGCCGGGGCAGCAGCGGCCGGGACGGCTTCTCCGAACCGCCAAGGGAAGAGCGGCCTCCCTGGAGCCCAACGGCGGCGGGAACGGGCGCGGGGTGCCGGTGTCTCACCTGGGTCGCTTTGTAGAACTGCTTCTTCAGCCCCGCCACCGACATGGTGCCGGTGCCGCTGCCTGGCCCGGTGGCGGCGGGGAGCCGGTGTGCGGGCGGCAGGACCTGGAGCGGGGGCGGCGGGAGCCTCGGGAGCCTCAGGACGCTCCGCCCGTCCCTGCCCGGCCCGTCCCCGCCGCCGCTTCCGCCGCCGCCCGGCCCCGCCCCCGGCCGCCACCACCGAGCGGCCCGGCCGGAGCGCCGCCAGCGCGCCCCCTACCGGCCGGGCGGAACCGCCGAGCGGCGCGACTGAGCGGCGAATAGAATCGTTCTGTCGCGACACGCGGGCCAGGCGGTCATGTTGGGAGATGACTGTGGTGCAGCTGTGTATTTCTCCTGAAGGATTCGGCACCGCCCGCGGGGAGCGGACCGCGTGTGCGACACGGGGACAACCGGGCAAGGACCCCCGCCATAGGTCTGGGGGAAAAATGGGGCGACAAACACTCCAAATTGAAAACTACGAATCCCAGCATGCTTTGTGACAACCATTGCGCCTGCGCCTCGCAGCGGCGGGCGCTGATTGGCCGCCGGCGCCGCCGCCATTTCGCGCGTTGGCTCAATGCCCGTAGCAGCGCGGCGGGCGGCAGTGCTGACTCCGCCCCCTCCGCCCGCTGCTCCGGACAGGCCGCTCCGGCCCGCCGCGGCATCGGTCCCGCCCGGTGAGCCGGTAGGCCTCGGGCCCAAACACAGGGACCCAGTGGCGCCCCGCCGGCCCTTTATAAAGCCACCCAATCAGCGCCTGCAGCGCGCCAGACCGACATCCCCCTCCGCCAATCAGCGGCGCTCCCGGCGGCGGCCAATCCAAAGGCGAGACGCAGCGGGGAGTGTGGCTGGGCGGATCACGTGGGGCGCGCTCGACCAATCAGTGGCGCGGTACGCGGGGTCGCCCCGGCTCCCGCCAAGTACGAGCGGGACGGGCCGGGCGGGACCGGGCCCGGAGCGGCGGGGGCTGCGCGGGCCGGGCCGCCTCAGGGTCGGCCGCCGCCCCCCGGCACCGCCGCGAGCCGTGCCCGCCGCCGGCGCCACAGGTAGGACCGGGCTGGGGGTGCCGCGCGGCCGGGGCGCGAGGTGTTTCCGGCGGCGGTTGGGCCACGGGGTGCGCGGGGCCTGCCCGGGGTAACAAAGGAGGTGCCGGAGCTGCCGCCGCGCCCCGGGGCTGGGCCCGGGCCCGCCCTGCAGCCGCACTCGTGCAGTCACAGACCGGTTTGGGTGGGGAGCGATCTGAAAGCCCGTCCCGTCCCACCCGTGCCATGGGCAGGGACACCTCGCACTGTCCCCGGGTGCTGCAGCCGGGCCTGGGCACTGCCAGGGATCCGGGGGCAGCCAGAGCTGCTCTGGGCACCTGTGCCAGGCCTGCCCGCCCTCACAGCCAGGAATTCTCTCCTCACATCTCCTTGGGTGCAGGCACAGGCTCCTGGGGATGTTCCTGCCCCAGGACAGTGTGAGGGGGACAGTGTGACTGCCGGGACCCGCTGGGTCGGGGGTTCCTTTGGCTTGGGGGTGACACTGGGACCCCTTTGTCCTCCCTCGGCCCTGAGAGCTGTTGGGCTCTGTCTCAGCCGTCCCGGGGAGGCAACAGCTCACTGGGAGCTGCCACAAGTGTTGATTTGTTGTTTTCTCCCGTAGCCATGGAGTGCAGAGACAAAGCTGCTGTTCCTCCACGGAAGCTCGTCCAAGGTAAGGGAGTGTCTCTCATCCAGTGCAGTTTTAACACATTAAGAACATCTCATACCTGATTTTATGAAACACATTGCTTGGGGATGATTAAATAATCTCTAAGTGGCTCATCTCAATTCTCAATGCGCTCCAGAATGAATGAAAGCCTTTGGTGTTTCCTGTGCCTAACGTGGTGTTGTTGTTGCAGCTCGGCTGCCCTTCAAGCGCCTCAATCCTGTGCCAAAGGAGAATCTCGATGTCAGTTCAGAAGTCAAAAAAGTCAAGAGCTCCCCGAGTGCTTTTGCTGCCAGCAAGGATCCCTCCCTGGATGCCTCAGGTGCCTCCCTGGACAATGTGGAGAACGACTGCCAGCTGGGCTCCGACGGGAATTTGACTCCAAAACTCGTGAACGGGAAGGGTCCTTTGGACCATTTTATCCAGAAAACCCCAGGAGGTGACACCAGTGACCCCGGGGGTGTTCCTGACCCCTCCAGGGGCTCTGCCCGCGGACTCGGGGACGGCGCAGAGCGCGGGGCTGTGGATTCTACAGCTGCTGTGAGCAATGGCACCATAGGAAAGGAGCTGGGCTGCCTGAGCCCCTCGCAGAGCAGCCCAGCAGGTGACTCCGTGGGGACTGAGGGGCCCTGTGCAGCTGCAGCTGGGCCGGGGCAGGCTGCAGGAGCCGGGAGCCCCCCACGCTGCAGCCCCACGGCCTGCCAGGATGGGGCGGGCAGGAAGGGCGCTCAGGGAGAACTGAAGGATGTGCTCTTTGAGGGGAAGGTGCCCGTGGTGCTGCTGGAGGACATCATGACCCTGAAATGCCCCCAGGTGGCCTCTCTGGACGCGTCGGAGAGCGAGGCCCTGGAGTCGTCCCACGAGGGGGACTCGGGACTGACCAACTCCTCACTGAGCTCTGGGGGCTCCCCTGAGCTCCTGGCACAGAGCAAGGGCAGCAGCAGCAGCCCCCTGGCTGCCTCCACACCTGCCAGGAAGGTTGGTCTGCTCTGCTTTGGGGTGCAGGTGCTGTGCTGGAGTGCTTGGGTGCCTGGGGTTCTGGGGAAGAGGGTGAGTGGGGCAGTGAGGAGTGTAGGAAAGGTGGTGGGGGTTAATTAATGAATTGTTGGCCTTTTGGGGGGTCTCTAAATCCTGCAGCTCAAGGGTTTGATCCTCCCTGGTTCTGGCTGCTGCTGTATTTACATTTCTTTAGTGAAATCCCCACTTGGGGCTTGGTGTTTTAGGAACAGCAGTTCTGTGTTTAGGTAGTTTTTTCCCAAGCTGTGTTTTCATCCTCCCCAGAGCTGCTGGGGTTCCTGTGAGGCTGTTCCCCCAGTACAGCCAGTGCAGATGCTTTTCCAGCTCTGAATCTCTGCAGCTGCCATGGAAAAGCTCTGGCACAGGGTGCCCAGGGCAGCTCTCCTGCCTCATCCCTGGCAGTGCCCAAGGCTGGGTAGGGATTGGAGCAGCCTGGCACAGTGGAACGTGCCCCATGGCAAGGGTGGCACTGGATGGGCTCTAAAGTCCCTCCCAGCCCAAATCATTCTGGGATTCCATGAAAAAGCTCGGGATGAGGGGGTTTTTGGTCACCTGAGTTTCAGCCACCCTGATTTTTGGGGCAGTTTGGACAGAGAAGCTTCCAAGGGTGGCAGCATCTGCTCAGGTGGCTCAAACACCACGGGATGGTTCTCCCAGTCCTTTTGTTGTGTTTATCAAGTCCAGTGATCAATTAATTCCTCCTCTGTGAAAACTCCCAGCCTTCCCTCTCTAAAATAAACAGACACACTCAAGCAGGCATGAAGTATTTCCAGTGTAGCAGAAGAGCAGAAAGCACTCCTGGTGTAATCCAACACTGCCAGTGGGGCTGGATTTGCTCACGTGCTGCTCTCCAAAATGGGAGTTTGTAGCCCAAAGCTGGCAGCTGGGAGTTCTGGCAGCTTTGTTTTCCTGGAGGGAAATAGCTCTGAGGAGCTGAACCCCCACTTGACAGAACTCCTGTTTTATATCAGATAAATATAGAAAATAAAGCAGTTGGGCTGTGTTAGCCTGTTAATCACAATTTAAATGTGATGCTGTGAATGGCAGCAGGAGGAGGAGGGATCCAGTAAATCAAGTCCCAGTCTGCTGAAATATTGACAAATTAGGCCTTTAACCAGTCTATGAACAATGGTCTTATGCATAAAACACCTTTTTCTTCCCCCCATAAATAAAAGATAAATGAGAAAGGTGCCCTGTTTGGAATTGAGGGTCAGTGAGCTGCTACTGGTGGAAGATCAAGTGGACTGTGAGGACAAGAAGAAAGTGTTAAAATGTGGAAAACAGTCCTTGTATTCATAAAGTTACAGCTAAATAGCACAGCAAGATAGGTGGATGCAAAAAAAACCCCAAAAAAACCCAACCCAAAAGCAAACAAACAGAAGTTTAGCTGGAAGGAAGTGAGTTTGCCACGTTGAAATGTCCCCTGTGGTTCAGAGCAGCTCCCCTGGTGTGGTGTCCCCCCTTGCAAGGGATCCTGTAGGGCTGAGGGCACCAGAGGGGTTTGTTCAGGGGGACAGGAGGTGGATCCAGGCTGGGGTGGGAGTGGGGAGGTTGGATGTCCCTTTGTGTGTCCTCATTCCCTGATTTGGGGACATTGGATGTCCCTTTGTGTGTCCTCATTCCCTGATTTGGGGACATTGGATGTTCCTTTGTGTGTCCCCATTCCCTGATTTGGGGACATTGGATGTTCCCCTTGTGTGTCCCCATTCCCTGATTTGGGGACATTGGATGTCCCTTTGTGTGTCCTCATTCCCTGATTTGGAGACATTGGATGTTCCCTTGTGTGTCCTCATTCCCTGATTTGGGGACATTGGATGTCCCTTTGTGTGTCCTCATTCCCTGATTTGGGGACATTGGATGTTCCTTTGTGTGTCCCCATTCCCTGATCTGGGGACATTGGATGTTCCCTTTGTGTGTCCCCATTCCCTGATTTGGGGACATCGGATGTCCCTTTGTGTGTCCTCATTCCCTGATTTGGGGACATTGGATGTTCCTTTGTGTGTCCTCATTCCCTGCTCTGGGGGATTTGGGAGTGACTGGATGGGATCTGCAGGAACAACCCTGGTGCCACTCAGGCTGGAAAGGGGGGACCAGGATCTCCTCTAAAACTTGCATTTTGTAATTGCAGGTACCTCAGAAATTCCACAGAAGTTCAGCAGAGAAGGAGAAGCTGAGATTGCAAAGAGTAAGGCATTTCCCTGACACCCAGACCTCCCCTGAGGAGCCAGCAAAGGCTTTGCCTTTTATCTCAGCCCAGCTGGAACATCTCTTTTGCCATTTTTCCTCACCCTGAGGAGCATGGAAGAACCTTTCATGCAGGCAGTTCAAGTGTTTGGCTCTTTCCAAAGCTCCTGAATGGAGCCCTGGGTGCATTTGGGGCTCTTTGGGAAGAGATTGAAGCCCCAAGGTTTAGGTTCTGTTTTT